AGTTGGCTGGTTACTGTGTTGAGCATCACAGATTTTTCCTATTCTCCTTTGAGTCTATTTCTCTCCAGAAAGTTACTCTTTCCTGTGCTCTTGTGACTGAGAGCATCTTTCTTCCTCCTTTATGTAGTATTCCTTAAACTGTGTTCTGCAGCGGTGGCTTGGTGGTCACAGAATGTGTTAGCTTGTGCCTGCTTTGATGTGTTCTTGTTTCTCCATCAGTTTTGAAAGATAGCTCCATTGTAGTTAGCAATTCTGGTCGGCACACGCTTTACATCAGAGGTGGATGGATGGGGTCAATCTCTAGGGCATCCCAGAGAACTGGGTTGAGGGAGGCCCCTGGGAGTCTATGGGGGTGACTTTAGCTGAGAATCCAAGCAGTAAGCATATGGAACCTGAAAAGACTACATCCTGTAGCCAGGCAGGACCCCCAGTGTATGGATAAGGACACCAACCCATCCACAAAACCTTTGATCAAAGACTTCTGTCTACGAGAAATGTAGGGACAAAGATGGAACAGAGACTGAGAGAATGACCAACCAATGACCAGCTCAAATTGGGTGCCCATCCCACGGACAAGCACCAATCCCTGACACTAGTAATGATACTCTGTTATGCCTGCAGTCAGGGGCCTACCGGAACTGTCCTCTGAGAGGATCCATCCAGAAGCTGACTGAAACAGATGCAGAGTCCCACAGCCAAACAGATCGGGCTGTCTTATGGAAGAACTGGGGGAAAGATTGAGGAACCCAAAGAAGATAGGAACTCCACGGGAAGACCAACAGAGTCAACTAACCTGGACCCTTGGGACCTTGCAGAGACTGAACAACCAACCAAAGAGCATATGTGGGCTGGACCTAGGCTCCCCACACATATGTAGCAGATGTGCAACTCCATCTTCATATGGGGGTGAACATATGTGGGTCCCCCAACAACTGGAATGGGGGTGGTCCCTAAAGCTGTTGCCTGCTTGTGGATCACATTTCTCTAACTGGGCTGCCTTGTCTGCCCTCAGTAGGAGAGGATGCACCTAGCCCTGCAGAGACTTGATGTGCCAGGATGGGGGGATACACAAGGGGACCTCCATCCTCTCAGAGGAGAAGGGGATGGGGGGGAGGGACTGTGTGATGGGGGAGGGGACCAGAAGGCAGGGGTGACAGCAATTGGAATGTAAAGTGAATAAAATAAATAAATAAATAAATAGAGAGGGGAGGCTTGAAATATATCATTCCATGCTTTCTTGCCTTGTAGATTACTGAAGAAACGTTTCTAATGTTTCTTCCTTTGTAAGTTGACATCTTCCCCTCGTAGTTTTTTTTTTTTTTTTTTTGGTTTTTCGAGACAGGGTTTCTCTGAGTAGCCCTGGCTGTCCTGGAACTCACTCTGCAGACCAGGGTACCCTCGAACTCTCAAACTCAGAAATCCGCCTGCCTCTGCCTCCCAAGTGCTGGGATTAAAGGCGTGCGCCACCACCGCCCGGTCCCCTCGTAGTTTTTAATATAGTTTCTTTGCTATGTTTTGACAACTTGTCTGTCATAAGCCAAGAGGTTCTTTTCTGGTGATGTCTGCTGAGGATTCTTAATGCCTCTTGTACTTCAATGTCCATTTCTTTTTCCAGGTTTAGAAACTTGTCTGTCGTCATTTCATTGAGTGGATTCTTTTTGCCTTTAGTTTTTATCTCTGCTCTTTGTGTCACGTGGGTTTTCAGGATTGACAGTATCCCAGGGTTCTTGGGTAGTGTAGAGATGTTTTTCTTTTTTCTTCTTTATAGATAGTGAGTGTAGTATCTCATCTGCCATGCCCTGCTTTTATTTGAATCATTGAGTCCTTGGAAATTGGAGACTGTCAGATAGCAGCTCTGGGGGAGGGCAGTTGAACTTGTGAACTTACTGCATTCCTATGGTTTATGATTCCGTTGAGCCTGTTTTGAACAAGTGCCTGATGTGTCCCAAAGATGTCTTCTTTTTACATGTTTATCTTCTTACCCTCTATGTGAACCAGGAGCCTGTGCTGGATACATTTAGCTTTGCAGTCTTGGCTGAGCAAGTTCCCTTCTCCTCTCAAGACTCCCCAGATGGTACTGAGGTGATATGGCTAGTACCTCTAACAGGGTTAGTGATGGAGTAGGGATGCCTATCAAATGCATTGCAAGTGTTGTCTGCTCAGAGGACCTGTCTTCCTACTTTTAAGATGTCCTGAGTACTAATCACCTTTGTGAGTACTAATTGCAGGAGGTGCTACTGTAATGTTAAGCCAGGCATTGGGACTTTTAGGGACATCAAAGTCCTGAGTGGATGAGACCTGTTCCCAGTCATCAAGATAAGGCTGTCATTCCCCACACATTTCATTGCCTGGGCTCAGCATCCTACTGTGCATACTTTTTTTTTTTTTTGACTTTTTTGAAGGCAACCAGATCTGCAACACTGGCTCCCAGGGCTGTTTTTCACTGTGGGGCTCAGAAATTTCAATCGATGCTCCCAGATTCGTAGTTGTTCCCTGTTTTTGGGTTCCAGTGTAGGTCAGTATTAAATCAATAGGTACCCTTTCAGAATGGTAACTGGCCACTGCCCTCTGAGTCATATTGGGTGACAAAATGGGTTTCCTCTGAACTGCTAAGCTGTTTGACTCAGGAATCACTGTCTAACCAAGACTTGAAGCTGTATTTGAGACTTTAGAGAGATGTAGGTTAGCTTTGTGAGGAAGGGTTTCTAATTTACCTTCTAGATAAAGCTTCTGCTTCCCCCTTTCCTGCCAACAACCCCCTTCTGACTTCTAAATTGCAGCAGGCTTCCCCCCAACCTTTTCTGTAGCCTGCTGGCTCTCTGCTATTTTGTCTTTCCTTGTGCAGTCTGAAGAGAGAGAGGAGTTGTTCAACGCTGTTTTACTAGCTATACCGGCTGATGTTGTATGCCAACTTACCGTCACAGAGGAAAGCCTCAGCTGAGAAAATGCCTTCATAAGATCCAGCCTATAAGACATTTTCTCAATTAGTGATCAATGGTGAGGGCCTAGCCCACTCTGGGTGGTGTCATCCCTGGCCTGGTGGTCCTGGATTCTATAAGAAATGCTGAGCAAGCCATGTGAAGCAAGCCTGTAAGCAGCATCCCTCCATGAACTCTGCATCACCTCCTACTTCCAGGTTCCAGCCTTGCCTAAGTTCCTGTCCTGACTTCCTCCAATGGTGGACTATGATCTGGAAGTGTAACTGAGTAAACCCTTCCTCCCCAACTTGCTTTTCAGTCATGGTGTTTCATCCCAGTAATAGAAACCATAATTAAGACACTAGCGCTCAGCTTCTTCTACTCCGTGACCTTAATGCACTGCCTAAGTGCCGGTCGCTGGGTTGGGATCAGCACAGCCATCTGCTTTTGCCAATCTGCCCCCGGGCTGCCAAGAAATTCCCTGCATTATTTATAGCATAGCTTCAGCTGGTTGGCTGGCTTACCTGTATCTCACAGTGGCTATGCCAGATACTCATTTCTGGCCTCCCACTAGCACCTCACTCTACCTTCCCTTTCCCCACATAATTGAGGCTTTGTTCTTGTTTTCCCAGAAAAAGTGGAGGGTTTGATGTCTGAGGCTGTTATTAAGAGCTTCCTCTTCACCCTACGCTGGCCGCCATCTCCTGCCGTCTCAGGGGATGCCCTAAGTTTTCCACGCTCATTCCTCCATCTATGGATTTTTTAGGGGATTTGATCCACACTGCCTCTGCTCTTTAAATTTCTCTTTACTTACTCCTCCTCTGAAAGGATGCTCATATTTTCTGAATTTTATTTTTTTACTTGTGTGGATGTTTTGTCTGATATACATCCACGTGCCATGTATACACTTGGTGCAAGAGGAAGCTTCTCAATGTGGGTTGAGCTAGGTACTGATCTATGGGCATAGGAATATGTCATCAGGAGTAATTTTCTTGCTATATTCCTTTACCAGAATAACAGTAGTAGGAGTTTCCTGAGGCCCATGACTTAGCTAGTCTCAGGTTCTTGCCCACTTCAGAAATGTCAGGTTTTGGATTCCATCTCATGGAGGTGGTGATAAATCCAATTAGAAAGTGGTTGGTTACTTCTGTAACATTTGTACCTCTATTGCACCAGTATGTCTTGCAGGCAGGTCACTGCTGTCGTCCCTGGGATTGCAGCTGGGAGATACTTATGAGTACCCTTCTTTTTCAGTAGCATGCAGAGTACCTTCCAGCATTATAGACACTAATCAGCGGCCTTGAAGCTTCTAGTTAGGCACCAGCTAAACTTGTCTGTGTTCTCTAGCATGTATAAGTGCTGTCTTCAACAACAGGCCTTTATTGTCAGGTGTGAAGTGTAACCAGTAGCCTTGACAATAGCCTGTGATGTTTGGGTGTTTCCAAGGGGTGCCCTTGGTCAATGATTCAACACGTTTCAGTCCATTTCTGGCACTGGGAGTTTTACTTGGTGGCATAATTTGTCTAGTTGGTGCACTGTCTCTCCTATTATTTGGTAACTTCCTTTCATATATGTGTACATTTTAGGAAGCTTCTACAGTAGTAGGTAGGCCATTTGGAAAAACATATGAAAACATCCACCTTATTTTTTTGAGACAGGGTCTCTCATTGGCCTGCAGCTTGCTGAGTCATAAGCCCCACAGATCCACCTGTCTCCAGCTCTCCAGAGCTCCAATTACAAGGGCATCACTATGTCTAGACATTTTTTTTTTAAAAAAAAAATGTAGGTTCCAGGGATGGAGTTTAGGTCCTTAAGCACCTCATAGAATGAGTGATCTCCCCATCTTCCTGAGTAGTAATTTAAACAATATTCTGAAATCATATGTAGACTAAAATTAGCCCTGACTTACAATGGAGAAAAATGCTATCTGATGGCTCAGGGCACAAAGTTTAATGATTGCTTAAAAATATCAGACATTTTTTATTATTATTATTTTATCATTATTATTATTATTTCCTCTCTTCCTCCTTTCTTTTTCTTCTATTTTCTCCTTTGCCTCCTCTTCTTCCTCTTCCTCCTCCTCCTCTTCTTCTTCTTTTCTTCTTCCTCCTCCTTTCCTCGGATTTAAAGACACAGTCTCTGTATATGGCCTTAGCTTAGCTGGTCTAGACCTTACTTCGTAGACCAGATTATCCTCCAGCTCATAGAGATCCACCCGACTCTGCCTCCGGAGTGCTCAGATCAATAGGGTATGCAGCACCATGTCCAGCCTAGATGTTTTAATTTTTGCTTATAAATAGAACTTTAAAACTTGCCATGACTTCTACTGAGATCCAGAGAGGAGAAGCCAGGTTTTATGTTTGTTTGTTTGTTTGTTTTTAAAGAGGAGAAAGAAAGGAAAAGAGAATGGTCTCATTAACAGTGGACAAGAAATGCCGAGTAGCTAGCACGTGTGGCGGGCTTGGCTCGCGTGAGCAGTTCACTACCAGGGAAAGAGATCTACGAATCATCCAAAGGCTGGGAGCACTGCCTGCAGCTCCTTCTGTGGCTCAACCTTAAAATCCAAACAAACACTCACAAAGTACAAGTAATTTTGATGAGCTACTCACATTCTAGCTGAATTAAATAGCCTTCAATTTTAACTTTTCCTTTTCAGTTCAGTTTTGATTAAAGTTCAACTAACTCCTAATATAAATGATGCAGTTTTCATAACTCACAAAAAGTGTTAAGACTGAAACAGATCATATAACTCATCAAGTACAATTTCCCCCCTTGTTATGATGAATTCTAGAGATGTCAAATAGTGTAGCATTTACAGGAAAGCTGAGATTCCAGAATTACAGGCCTCTTGACTGTTGGTTCAGACGGTGCCCATATACAATCAGTTCTCACATCTGAGTCTGTGTAAGGGACACTGGTGGGGAGAAGTACTTGTTAAAATGTAGATTCTGGCCCTGTCAAGGTGTAAAAGTTGGTGAAGCTGTTTACTACCAACTCTGACAACCTGAGTTCCATCCCTGGAACTGACAGGATGAGAAGAGAGAACCGTTCCCTGCAAGTTGTCTTCTGATTGCCACACACACATCACAACATACACATCTCCCATTCCCAAATAAATAAGTACATGAAAGAACTATTTTAAAAAGGAGCTGGGGAGACAGCTCAGTGGAGGGTGTATTTTGTCTAATATGTGTAAAGCCACAGATTTAATTCCTGGCACTCAATAAAACAAACAAATTATGAATTCCTCCCCAATCTCAGAGATCGGGGGTGAGATGCAGGAATTTACACTTTAATGTGTTATTGAAGAACTTGTGATTCAGGTAACCTTTAGATCATACTCTGATAGAGAGTACTGGGAAGCTGTACAAATCACGAGCTCCCTTAGAACAAGACTGCTCTGTATTTTCAGGGTCAGACATCCAGTGACAGTAAACCAACCTTTCTTTGGGACTGGAGGAGCTGTTGGTCCAGTTGGCTATCACTTGGGACATTTTTGGTGCAGGCTGGTTTTATTAGAGATGAATCCCGGAGTCCTGCATATGTCAGACAAACCTTCCCCCACTGAGCTGTAGTCCCAGGCTCTGCCCCCTTCAGTAATTTTTTCAAAACAAGTTTTCACTAAGTTATCCAGACTGCCTTTGCATCTGCCATCTTCATGCTCCAGCCTTCCCGGTAGCTGGGATTACAGATCTGTGCACTAGGCTCCACTGAAAACTTTTCTCTACAGCTAAAAAAACCCACTGAGTGAGATGGGTGTTCCCACAAAGCAACTGTATGGTATCTGAGGAGTCTTTTAAACTGCAGCAGAGGCATCAGGCTCACACAGAATCCTGGCCTCTGGGAAAAGTTAAGATATTAGACATAGTCAGTTTTCATAGCCCTACCGTCTAGATTCTACAATTAGCATCTTGCTATATTTGTTTACTGGCTGTATACTCATCTTTCCATCCCAAGTACGAGGTTATCTTGCTTGCCAGGGTTTTAAATCCTTCCATCTCTACAGTGCTGTTTTTAACTTTTCTTTTGGCACAGCTAGTTTCTCTGTATTCCCTGTTAACTGTTTTGGCATCCGTCTGAGACTGTTATGATCTTCTTGAGACTGAACCTGTATCTCTGGTTTTAGAGTACATCTCTACACTCGTTAGAGCAGGCAGTCAGTAAGACTGTGTGATTAAATCTGTCTTAGTTTCATCTATCATTTTAAAATTAACACTGCTTCACATTTTCATGTGGGTAAATTTTCAGCTACTTCAAAACTCAGTGGATTAAAGTATGACTCCATCTTCCCAGAAACACATGCATTAACTTTTAGAGTGATTTTAAAATCCCTTTTTATGTAGTCTCATAACAAACCAGCTGCTCTGGAGTATATTTTTCTTTGAAATTTCAGGCACTACCTCATTATACCCATTACTATGGTTATAGAAAGCCACCAGTCTATTATAATTGAGAGCTAATCTCCTGTCCCACTACTCCAAAGTGTACATCTCTCTACCACTGAATTCTCTTTTCTCTGTAATCCTATATACTGCAACCTGGGTAATTCTTGTAAGCCTTTACATTTTATTCATTTAGTCTATATGTGTACGGGCATTCAGCATGCAGGCACACATGGAGTGTGTGTATGAGCATTCACCATGTAGGCACATATGGCGGCTAGACAGTGACACCTAGAAAGGGCAATGTCAAGATTATCCTCAATTGCCTCTTTCTTTCTTTCTTTCTTTCTTTCTTTCTTTCTTTCTTTTTTTTTTTTGAGACAGGGTTTCCCAGTACAGTCTAGGCTATCCTGGAAGTCATTGTAGACCAAGCTGGCCTTGAACTCAGAGATCCACTTGTCTTTGCCTCCTAAGTGCAGGGATTAGAGGCATGCCCCACCATCACAGCTGGATACCTCTCTGTCTTATTTTTAAGGCAAGGTCTATCACTGAGCCTTATCTGACAGCCAAGCAACCCTCACAGGCCCACTTGTTTCCACCCCACTGGTTCTGAGGTTATACATGCTGCAACCGCTGGTCTTTATGTGGGTGCTGGTGATCTGAACTCAGATCCTCACAACAAGAACGTTACCCAGAGCCAGTCCCTGAAACCATTCCCAATCATGTCATTTGCTTTCAGAGTCTCCAGTAGCCTCTTACTACCTATTGGTCCAAAGCTTGAAATTCTGTTTTCATCCCTAGTACTGATGACAGATCTTTTCATTCTTCAAAGGTTGGCCAGATTGTCATGACTTAAAGTTTTTTTTATTATATTGTGTGTATTTACATGTGTACTCATGCTATAGTACATATATGGAGGTCAGAGGGCAACTCTGTTAAGTTGTTTCTTTCCTTTTACCTTTATGTGGGACACAGGAATCAAACTCAGGTTACCAGGCTCCTGTAGCAAATGACTTTACCTGCTGAGCCATCTTGCTGGACTGTATATCTTTTTGCCTTTTTTTTAAATAAACATACAGATTTACCACCAAAGTGAAAAGTGTTCTGTTATTTTACATTCGATAGACAACCTTGCTGAGACATCACGGACCATAGACTATCCTGTGCATGTCTGTGTCTACCTAACAGGAGGAGGTCCTACAGTTAGGGAGCATGTCTGAAACCACTTCATACAGCCCTCAGCTTCTATGCTAACTGGCAGATCCAGAACTGTGACTATGATGGAAAAGAAATTGTCCATGATGTAGTATGAAGCAAAAGCTAGATGAACATTTTCAACACCTTGGGTTATTAAAGGCAAGTACATTCGGCAGAAAGGGATAAAAGCCTGGAGGACATTATCTGATTATAATTTGGCACGGAGGGAATTAAGCTTTGAAGATGATCATATTTTCTCACAAAGAAGCTTATATCAGGACTTCAAAGTAAATCAAAAGAGTGCCAGAGCCGGGCAGTGGTGGCGCACGCCTTTAATCCTAGCACTTGGGAGGCAGAGACAGGCGGATTTCTGAGTTCGAGGCCAGCCTGGTCTACAGAGTGAGTTCCAGGACAGCCAGTACTATACAGAGAAACCCTGTCTCAAAAAACCAAAAAAAAAGAAAAAAAAAAAAAAAAAAAAAAAAAAAAAAAAAAAAGAGTGCCAGAAAGGGAACGAGCTGTAGTCTAGTCAGTCATTCAAAGCTCAAATAAATAGTATCTCAAGTCTGAGCCCAAAAGTTACATTTTGGTAGTATTGTTAGATACATCCTTAAAAAGAAACTTCTCCAAAACAACAACAACAACAACAACAAAACAAACCAAAAAGAAAAAAACGAACAACAAAACCCAAAAAACCCCAAAAGAACAACAAATGCACAAAATCCCAAAAAACGACTTAACAATTTCATAACTACAGGCATGGTTCTCAAATACTGTTACATAGGGTGCAATATACAAATTCTTTTTGTTTTCAGGGGAAAGGCTAAATAGGTCAAATTGTATTAAGCTTATACAGAGTAAAATACTCACTGTACAAATAATTAATCCATATCAATAAATCTAGTAAAGGGCAGACTCAGTCTGCAGCACCAGTATCATGCCTGTGACACCAGATTGCTGGGACATTTGGGGGCTGCCTCAGCCCACTCCTGGAATATAGTCTCTAACTATGAGAAGAGAAGCACCACAGAGGAGGGGAGTACTTCCGACAGTGACAGAAGCCAGTGGCTGACAGAGAAGTTCAAGCAGGCCTGGACCTTCCCAATCTGCCCTACTTAACTGATAGGCCACATAAGGTCACCCAGAAAGATGCCGTCCTGTTCTACGGCTAGCAAGCACAACCTGCATGGGGAGACAGAAAAGAAGATTGGAGTACATATTTGGAGATATCCAGGCATTGATATTTGCAGTCATCTGGCCAGACTGATCTCAGTTCTGGGGAAGCAGCCATGTGACTTTAGTGATATCACCTCTGTAGATTTTCTTGCTTATGGTGTACTTGACCTGTACTTAAACCTAAGTGTTCCACCTTTATTTGAGCCAGGGTCTTACTATGTAACCGTGGCTTGCCTGGAACTTTGTAGATCAGGCTGATCTTGAACTCAGAGATCTGCACGGCTCTCCCTCCCACATACGGGGACGTCAGCATTTGCTGTGTGTTGCATACCCCAGAACTGCTTTATTCTGAGATTAGATTAATAAAGCTTGTTACATCGAATTCATTATTTGTGAATGCAATCCTTGTTTCGTAGTTTATTTCACAGAAAGACTCAAATATGTCTCCTTACATGGTTCTTAACTTCTGTGTTCCAAGGATGCTTTGCTTTTTATAGTCAAAGCTTCCACACAGATAGTTGTACTATAGTAGAAAGATACTAGAGTGAGCCTTGAGAACGCACACACATCTCTTGTTTTCATTGGTACAACACTCTTCTGGAGTCAAATAGGACAGGAAAGCAAGGTGCAGCTATAGTAAACTTGCTTCTTGGAGTGCTAACCTTTATTCCTTCATAACTAAGAAATCCACTGGGAATTAACAGAATAACTGAACCAAAATCAAGAGTATTCTGGCCACTGGTACACCTCCACCACTGCCTCTGATAAAGCTCACTGGGAATACCAAACATGGTAGCGG